ATTTTATAAACCAATAATAAAAAACAAAACAAATACACAAGGTGAGAAAGAGGTTCTGTTGTCAATAGGCTTTTTTGGAAACGCTGAACAACCTACATCAGCTGCTGCTCCAACGGTTCGGGGTTTTCGAAAACGTCTAATTATGACATCACGAATTGACTGGTGATCTTCGAAAAAAAGCCTGAATCATATTTGCCAAAATATCTGTAATTTTATTCCAAAATCGGTATTAGACTACAAAAAAAAACGGCACATCAGAATTTGCTGAAATTTGGCATAAACATTCTTTGATCGATTATCTAGAGAATAGTGCTCTTATTTTTCCAATTTTTACTGTGGATTTTTCTATTTTTGGGAAATAGTTCATTTTCACAAAAAAATTCGAAATATGGAAAATCTAACTGCACTATTCTCTAGATCAGTGGCGGCTGGTTAGAGTACAAGTTGGCGGTGCACACCCCGAGGGGTCGGGGGGGGGGGGGGGGGGGGAAGCCGAAAGCGCGCGATTTTTTTTGGATGCCACGCCCAAATTTTGATCTGAGTAATTTTTTAGTAATTATGGGCGCGTTTGGGTTGACGCTCGGTGCACTTAGAGCTTGCACTTTTGTCTCTTTTCCGTTACTTTTGAAGCTTCGACAACACTTGATTGTGTTTGGTTTGACATATTTTGAGCGCTCAGAGCGAGCTCGATAAACCCCGAGTTTGTGGAGTGGGCAGCTGGAGCGTGCATGCGCAGATCAGCCCCCGGATTCTATTTCGACTCGTAAAATAGAATCCGGCCGCAGATTTGTTCAATCTGTCTGTATAACCTAACCTAACCTAACCTTTTTTCCATGATAAGATAAATAAACAATCCTGAATTTTAACATATAAAATATTTGTTAGCTGGATAGTTTTACCTATTTTGTTTAAATGTTAACAATCAAATAGCTAGTAAATTCTGCATAAAGCACTTTTGCACGAGTTTATTTGGCTTCACACGGTGTACTCCCTGTGACGTCACGTTACTCCGTAATCGCTCTGCTCGCTCCGCCGATCGTCAACCCAAACACGCCCTATATTAATTCAAACGTGCGCATTCTCCATTTTTACAAAATAATAAATAAGGTGAAAAATGTCTGAGTTTTTATTATTTTTAAATCTGGAAAAGGTATCCCAAGTTCTTCGAATTGAATTCTGTCCTCCAGGGACCCAATTCTTGAATAATCTCGAATACGAAAATTTATATGATTTCGAACGTTACCTATTCAATTTACGTTGCTGTCATTCGAATTCGAATCAACTTTCGTATGCGAAAATATTCAAGAATTGACCCCCAGTGAATGGGTAGAGCAGCGCTGCCACATCCATCGATTTATCGGTAGATCTGCCGATTTTCAAATGAGTCTACCGATCTCTCGATTTTAAACCATTTTCTCACGATTTTTCTGCAATTTGTTGGTAATGCAACAACAAATATGTAGATATATATTTTATTTAAAATAAAAAATAAAATTGTTTCTCATTCCGCAAGAAAATCTAAAAACTAATGACATTTGACATCGTGTCTAGTGATGAGCGATATATCACAAACTGTGATTTTATCACTGATATCTAAAAATCACGAATCACGACTGCTACCAAAATTCTATAAAAAACGTGACGTGATCACGGCAACGTAGCAAACTAATTTCTTGTCTTTTAAGAATAATTTTTTCTTTTTGTAATTTCAAATTCCAAATTCCGCCGCAAATTCCATATCGTCGTGATTTGCCGCCCCGATATTTGGTAGGTTTTAGTTGCCAAATATCTCAACCGCTAGTAGAAAAAAAATGCATCTGTCTGCATCAGTTTCAGTTGTACTAAAATATACTGGAAGTCGTGATTTAGTCACGCTTTAAAATCACTGATATTCAAAAATCACGGTGTCAGTTAACAGTGTGATTTGAAAATCACGGTATCGCTCATTACTAATCGTGTCTCGTGTGTCACGTCACTGATGATCACTTATGAAACCGCTATTGAAATTGAAAGTCGCTATAAATAATAGGCAATTTTTCGCGAGGATAACCAAGCATACTCGATTATGCTCAGATGTTATGTGTCAATTGTGTCATACTCTACTCCCCCACTATGAAGTTCTGGGATACTCGAGGATCAAGAACACTTAACTTCTTCTGTGAGAACAAACCGAAAATAACCTTTTCTATATTTAAAATCGACGAAAAAATTAACTCACTAACTAGCACATCCTGAATCTGCATTCCATCGCGGTCTGCAGCTGACGTCATCACCATAAGATGCTGGTAGTGACGTCACTCGTAGGCCAGGAATTGGATGGTGAGGGAGTTAGGGAAGTATGACACAATTGCCACATAACATCTTAGCATAATCAGTGTTTGATTATGCTCGCGAAAAAATGGAATAGGAATCACATTGCACAAAAAAATTATGACTAAATTTGACTGGTTTTATATACCTAAATTGTGGCGGAATGATGTCATATGACGCAACCGCCTAGCTACCAATTTTTAAACGAAAATTACCGATTATTTCTCCAAGAATTAACCGACTCTATTCCATCAGAAGTGGCAGCACTGGGGTAGACAAAAGCTTTTATCAATAAATTCCTGATTTTATTCATTTTGTCTGATGTCTATTTATTGGTAAAAAACACTAATTTGAATTTCAATTAACAATCTGCCGATGCATTTACGCACCGCATAACATCCGCCAACCCACTCAAATTATTAAAATTATGCTCAAATTGCCCCAAAAATTAATCCGAGCCGCTCGATCAGGTGGCCCCGTTTCCACGTATGAAAACAAGTGGTTAGTGCAAGCGCGGCGTGACCTCGAGTAACCTTTTTCAACGTGTTGCCATGTTGGAGCGGGGCCATTGTGAGATGTGCTCGAATGGATAGTCCAGCAAGTTTAGCTTGGTCAGTCGCATGAATTATTGTCTAGCAAATCTAGGAATAATAACGACAGGAATTTTTTTGTCGGAATCAAATTATAAAATCATAAGTAATTTGATTTGACGATTGTGATAATTATTTTTGCGCCAGTGTCACGGCCTCTTGGCCCCTTAGGGCCAGCCGCCACTGCTCTAGATAATCGATCAAGGAATGTTTATGCCAAATTTCACCAAATTCTGATGTGCGGTTTTTTTTTTGTAGTCTAAAACCGATTTCTGTATTTTGTATCGTGTGCATGGGAGCGATGTTGTCCCCTTAAACTCAACTGTACGTTGCTTTGAAGAAACGAACTCATCACTAGAAAAGGATCACTTACCCATTGCTTGTTTGTCAAATTATCCTCTGGTTGCGAATTTTCTGATAGTCCTGAATTTGAGTTCTGTTGGACATATATCAAATTGCAATGAGACCTAGCACTAGATTCAAACCCAGTTAACGCATTTCTCAGGATTTTTACCAATTTAGATAAACCTCTATTTTTCAAGTAATAGTATATTGTGTATTTAGGTGGAAAAGTGATACATTCTCGGCCGATGGTGTAAGTTGACGGACGAGGCGTAGCCGAGGCCGGCAATCACCGAAGGCCGAGAATGTGCTTTTCCACCGAAATACACATACTATTTTTTCTGCGATCGGTTAAATATATCTGTTAAATGTTTGTCTTTTTGTTCCAATTATTCAGCAGTACAGTATTGTTATTCATTGATTCCTTAACAACTATTGAAACATAATTAAAATACCAGAATATTGAGTTTTGCGACCTGTCAACCGGTCAAAAATGTTGACATTTCTTGTCAATCGCAGAAAAAAGGTATTGTTTACAAAATTACTAAATTTAAAACACTTGCTTAAATCAACAATATCAATTAGTGTTTAATCTCTTCAAGTTCGCAACATATCGAATAATATTATTATTTCTTCTGATAAGCCCGTCAATTCTGGATTGAACCAAGTTTGAAATATTATATTCATTATACTTTATTTTTTCCCAAGATAGATTTTGGCATTGTCAACTTTGAAACATAAACAATGCCGCTAATGTCGCTTATTGGTCCCTATTGTAAAACTGATGTCAACCTGCCGAAACACCTCATTTTGCGAGCAATCAGGGTCAAGCGTTATTGTTTATGTTTCAAAGTTTTCAATGTCAAAATCTATCTTGGGAAAAAATAAAGTGTAGAAGTGCATAAAATTAAATTAACATAAAAACATTTATTTGCCAAGTATGTGACATCATGCAAGGAGACTGGGAGATTATATGGATTAACAATCATAATGGCAAAGTCATTTTCTGAGAGATCGTCGTATTCATCCGATATTGATCCCATCAGCTACTTGAGGGACATTTCTGTTACTAACTCCTTTAGCCTATTCCACACTGATTTAAATGAAATAAAGAGCATATTCAGACAAATAGAGAATAAAAATTCATCAGGTATTGACAGTATATCAGTTAGGTTATTTCGCAGGTTGCCTGATTGTGTGTTGGAGACTATCTCATTTTTGAGAAAATTATTAGATCAAACGAACTTACCAGTGAAGTTCGATCCTAATTTTAGGAGACCTCCAGTCCGAAGATATCAATACTATTTTACCACGTAGTAGACATTTGTCGCCTGTATTACCCACTAAGTTTAAAGAAGCCGGTCCTGTCCACTCCTGCTCTTCGCTGCCGTTGGCCATCTCCATCCGCCATCGCGTCATTTTGTTTAAATTATAATCTTTGCAACACCTCTGGGGAAACTGAAAAATATTGGGTTGGGAGGGAATTGATATCTTCGGACTGGAGGTCTCCTAAAATTAGGATCGAACTTCACTGGTAAGTTCGTTTGATCTAATAATTTTAGTTCGACCTCCAGTCCTTCGATATCAATACTATTTTACCACGTAGATGTTCAAAGACAAGTTGCAAAGATAAGGAAAATATATTGTATTATAAGTAAGACATATATATCAAAAGTAACTCAAACATATTCTAAACCAAATACCACATGAAACATGAAAACTACAAGCTAAGTACAGATTTTGCAAAAGCAAATGAATCTATAACAGGACGATTATAAAATCTTGCAAACGTAGAGGAATCTTCTGACCAGCCTGCAGTCTGGCGAATGAGATCCAAAGAAATTCCTTTTCTTCTCGCGGCTGACGTAGACGCATGTCTAGTAAAATGGGCGCGAAACTCTTCTGTATTAACGCCGGCACGCGCCAATAATTCTTTGACCCATTTGCTAATTGTTTGTTTCGATGCACACTTGTAAGGTGGTCGAGTAACTAAAAACAAATTTTGTTGGTCTGGTTTCCTTATTTTTGCCGTAGCTTCTAGGTAAAATTTTAAAACTGATCCAACACATAAAGATGGATCTTCTGTAAAAAAAGGTACATGTAAACAAGGTTGAAGCTTGCCAGGGCCTGAAGTCTTAATTTTATCTGAGATATAAATTTGATAGCCTCCTACTGAATTGGTTATATTTTCAATTTTTATGAGGGATATGGTCTGTACTCGCTGACCAGAAACTAAGACTAAAAACGAAGCAAGTTTGATGGACAAATCTCTTAAAGTTAATCCATTATTTGGAAACATGTTCTTGAGGTGGGCTATGACTGGCCGAGTATCCCATATATGATTGTATCTGGGAGCAGTAGGCCTAATGTTACTTACCCCCTTCAAGAATCTCTTAACCCGAAAATCATTAGCTATATCTGTTGACAAAATTAAGGATAGCGCAGATCTGTGTGCATTAAAGGTGCCGTATTGTATAGTCTGGCTGTCCAACAGATTTTGAAGAAACTGTAGAACTTCACTTACCCCGGATTTGTAAACAGAAAGATTATGTTTTTGGCAAAAACCCCACCAAAGTTTATAGGTGGAATTGTACTGTTTAAGCGTTCCAGCTGATAATGATTGAAGTACGGTTCGTAATGTATTTTCTGGGTAATTTTTCAGCAGTAATGCATTCCAGATAATTTTGCTGCAACCAGGGTAAGGTTCTTCGCCATCTTGTGTTGTGAGCTAAAAGGTGAAGTAAGCAAATTAGGATCAGGCTTAAATAACAGGTAATCGCCTATCTTAATCTTCATGAAAAGAGGAAACCATGACTGGGACGGCCACCAAGGAACTACTACGATGCCTTGCGCTTTTTCATCGATAATTTTTTGAATAACTCTCAAAATTACACTAAAAGGAGGAAATATATAAAAATAAAAGGTACTCCAATTAATGGTAAAAGCATCAACCGCAACTGCATTTGGGTCTGGTAAGTAGGATACATATTTCTCACACTTGGCGTTAATGTTTGACGCAAAAAGGTCTATTTCAAAGGTACCCCACTCCTTCACTATGCGTTGAAAAGCATAGTTAGCCAAAGCCCATTCAGTTTCTGTTGGTAACATTCTTGATGCTTTGTCAGCTTTCCAGTTATCTTGAGAGGTAATATATGATGCAAATAAAAATGTATTTTTTAACTCGCACCACTGCCATATTTCTCGGGCTAAATTGTCTAAATTTCTATGTTGGACACTGCCCATTCTATTTATGTATGATAGGGCAGTAGTATTATCAGTGCGTATTAATACATTACAGTTGGTAAGCTCCTTTGCAAAACATCTTAACCCGAAAAATATAGCTTTCAATTCTAAATAGTTAATATGGTTGTTTTGGTCTGTTTCAGACCACCAACCATACGTAGAGAGTTCCTTGGTGCATGCACCCCAGCCGGTTAAGCAAGCATCAGTAAATATTTCTATCTTAAAAGTGTCCTGTCTTATGTCATTGGAAGAAATGAGAATGTGAGTGTCCCACCATAACAAATCAGATTTGATATCAGATGATAGGATCATTATAGCCTCATAACTCATATTATTTTCACGAAGGTATTTAATTTTCTCTCTTTCAAATGACTTGGTATATAACCAACCATACTTGACCGCTGGGCAAGCCGAAATCAACAGACCTATGAATTGAGCCCAGTGTCTAATTTTGCATGAATGAGAATTTTTAAAATGACCTATTGATTCTTTTATTTTTACGCGCTTCTCTGTCGTTAGACCTAAGGTCATATTTTCTGAGTTGAAAATAAAATCTAAAAATTTCTGTCGTTTAGAAGGACTTAATGAACTTTTTTCCCTGTTTATAATGAAACCTAAATTCTGCAAACAATTTAGTACAGTGACTGTATTAAGAAGACACTGTTGTTCAGAATCAGCCAATATTATCAAATCATCCAGGTAACTAACGCAGCAAATACCTTCAGTCCTTAACTTGGTTATAACCGGTTTAAGGAGTTTAGTAAAAATATATGGAGCGCATGACAATCCAAACGGTAAAACGTTAAATTCGTACACATTTTCCTGGAAATAAAATCTTAAATATTTTCTATGAGATTTTGCTACTGAAATCATAAAATATGCGTCCTTTAAATCACTTGTTGACATATATACATTGGGACGAATAAGACGAGAAACTGTTCGATAGTCCTCCATTTTAAAATGAGGTACCTCGACATATCTGTTTAATCTTTTAAGGTTAAGTATAAATCTTTTACTACCGTTAGGTTTATCTACAAGAAATATGCTTGAGACGAATTGTACAGATTCGTTCTTACATCTCGATACAGCGCCCGTACTTAAAAGATCCTTGATGCACTCTAACATTTCCTTAGTATCCCTATGAGACAGTATTTTTGCATAGGAAAAACTTTCTGAAGCTGGAGGTATGAATTGAAAGGGTATTTCAAAACCTTTTACCCATGATAAAATAATATTATTTGAAGTAAATTGTTTCCAACTGTCAACAAAGTACTGTAACCTTCCAGCTGGTATTTTACTTACCGGAATTACTTGTTTTTCCTGGAATAGAACTTCTCGTGTCTCGAGGATTGTTGGCCCTTGTAAGGTTTCGTCCCCCTCCCTGGACGACCTGGGCGATATCGGTTTTCCGGAATTGATTTCCTCCCTCCTCTTCTTTCGCCACTAGTATAATTTTTATTAGTGCTGGTTGAGGTACTCGGTACTCTAGTGAAGGCAGGTGTTGCCAGCAAGTCCTTACTTGTCTTTTCCAGCATTCGGGCAGATTTAATTTTTTCCCCGAAATCCAAACCAAACAAGGAGGTGTCAGGAACAGATTTTTCTATAATATCTTTCACCTGTCTGTTTACAGTTTGAGAAATCAAGGTACGTCTAGTTTGCGATAGGCTAAAAAATAAATTGGTTAAAATTTTACCTGAATCCCAAAGAGGAGTCATCAAATTTTCCTTTAATTCCTTAGGAAAATTATTGCCCTCTTCAAGAATTATTTTAAGGCCCTGTCCAAGAGCTGAAAGACCATGAGAAATCTGATTTTGAATTGCCGAGTAACCAGAATCTCTCTTTTTATGAAGCGCTGACATAATTGCCAAGATTTCAGCGTTAACCTCAGGTGGCACTAACAAGGGTAAATTCTCTGGTATTTTGTGACGGTCATTTAAAACCCGTTTGTCCTCGTCCGATAAGCCATTAGACAATATATGATCCCATCGCGAGGATATGGCCTTATGAAGTTGGAAAGTTGACTTTCCACCTTCCTTTGGATCGCTTCCTAAAATGGCCAAAAAATCGTCGCCTAGCTCAACGTCATTATTTATTATTAGTGACGGAGAATGGCCTCCTTCTGCTGTAATATTGTCTGGACTGTTTGGTCGTCGTCGTACAAGGTTTTCAACATGCAAGTTGAATCCCTCATTGTTGGTTGCGTCTGCATTCGTCGATACGTACGAGTATCGCTCTGCAGAAAAACTTCGGCGCCGACGGGCTGAATGCGTCCCTGTGCTCTCGACAGTCTAGAGAATCGACTTCTATCGCAGGAACAGCTGGAAAGCTCTCCCCGCTCCACCCATGAGCGCTGTCGATGGCGCGACGGGGAAGAATCGACCTTTCGCGTCTGTGTGGGAGAGCGAGTTAGCCTGCGTCGGTCACCTGATTCCAGTCGGCGAGAGCGAGAACGCACGCTCGACTCCGAACGCCGATGGCGCTTACTAGAGTATGTACGGGAACGTGACCTTCGTCTTTCTTGGGATCGTTCCAACTTATGAATTCTTCTTAGTAATTCTTTTTTCGATAGCTCGTCATCACTACTTGATGACCGGTCCCTTTTCTTATGTTTTTTCATGGCTGGAAAGTAAATATTACAATCAAATTTACTTACGTGTGACAGCCAAAGCTTGAAAAAACCAGAACGCTCTGCACTATACAAGCACTAAATGTCGAAATGACGCGATGGCGGATGGAGATGGCCAACGGCAGCGAAGAGCAGGAGTGGACAGGACCGGCTTCTTTAAACTTAGTGGGTAATACAGGCGACAAATGTCTACTACGTGGTAAAATAGTATTGATATCGAAGGACTGGAGGTCGAACTAAAATTCATTTCATAGGTAGCAAGTAGAACGCTTGGACATTGTAATGGACGTTCAATGTAGCACAAATAGGTAAGCTTGTGGCGCAGTGGTGTGCTACGTGGAGTTATTTTTTAGGATTGGTGCAATGGTAGCTTTTAATAAGAAAAGCGTAATCTACATTACACAAAAAATTCAGGCAATTCTGACATAAACACAATTTCTGTATATTTTGGGCATGGTCCTTTACTTTTGAAAAGGGTGTTTAGGTTTTCCCTGATAGTCTAAAGTTTTGCATAGTAGTGTGAACAAATTTTTGTCCTATTTTTTATAGAAAGTTTATAAATATATTTTTTTTCTTCTGAATTTTAGGGCGTATAACAAGACAATGGCAAGATATAGGATTTCAAGGTGAAGATCCGAAAACTGACTTTCGTGGAATGGGTATGCTAGGCCTAGAAAACCTCCTATTTTTCGCTACGGAATACAAGGCCCCTGCTCAACATGTTCTATCCCACTCGATGCACCCCACCTATGGCTACTGTTTTGCTATCGTAGGCATTAACCTTACTTCAATGGCTTTATCTTTATTACGTGATGGTAGTGCAAAAACTTATCTTTATAATGCCTCGAGAAGTTTACCTACAATAAGACTATTTCATTATTTTTACAGTTTTTTGTTCTACGAGTTTGATAGGTTCTGGATGGAGTGTAAACCAAAAGATATTATGGAGTTTTCCAGTGTGAGAGATAAGTTTGAGAAAAATTTACGGAATAGTTTGCTCAATTCTAGGATGGAGTTTAGGATTGCCTTGAATGTGGAAAATGTTTAGGAAACTATTTTGAGCACTATGGCACAAAATAGCTCAATTTATGTGTTATAATCAATGATACCTACTGCCTTCACACTAGCAAATAGCTTTAAGTTAGGAATAGCTTTCTCAGGGTTAATATTTTATGTGTACTTTTATCAATAGGTGCAGAAATGTTGAATCCTACTGTGTTTATTTATTTATTTATTTATTCCAAAGCTAAGCAATGACAGAAATTTTTGTGTTGAAAAATTAGTGACACTGCCCTTACACTAGTAAATGGCTTTGAGCCTCAGTGTAGCTTTCTGAGCTTTTCATGTTCTTTTTTATTACATTATATTGTAGACGCAAAATATGATCTGCACCACCCAGTGTTTATGTTTAATAAATGTTTAACCTATTTTATGTTCATTGTAAATTTAAAGTACTTATTAGTAGAATATGTTTGTAATTTGAATTTTAATTAATAAAAAATTTTCAACTGGCAAGCACATCTTTGAGAGCTTATACCAAGCTAAGCTTCGCTTTAGTAATAAAGGCATCAAACTATTCATTATTGAGAAGCTCAAGAAAAAAGCTTCCTTGCGATGTAAAAATATACGGGTTATTCAATTTAAGAAAACCCACTTTTTTGAAGTTATAAAAATCCAATTTTTTATTATCACTCGGTATAATGCTGAAAAAGATTTATACAGGGTGTCCCACGAAGTTTTACCCAAGTGATAACTTCCGAATGCGTCATTGTATGTTTCACTGTGGAATTTTTTGTTCTTCGACAAAGCCTTAACAAATATGGCATTGCCGATTTTCTTATTTAATTTTCTAACAAAAAATGCCATAATATACCATGAGTTACATTTGAGATTCTAAAGTTGCCGTCACTTGACCAAAACTGAAGAGAAAGTAGTGAAATTGGATAATAATGGTAGAAGCCGCACAAAAAGTTACCCAGATCCTAATAATTTCAATTATATTGGATGACGCGTTCCAAAGTTATTAACTGGGAAAAACGTGACACCCTGTATAACGACTAAAAATTTATCGGGTAATTCAAAACAATGGTGCAAACCGTATCCTTTAATCTTTTCTAGTTTCAGATATCAGCTATTGTATTAAAATGCTTGTTTTGGCTGTGACACCCTGTATTAAGTCTAAATTGGAACTAATAGTCATACAGATCCGTTCTTGAACTTATTTTCGGTTCATAATTTCATTATTTTAGAATCGAAATGGTCTGAATTTGTCCTGTCTGTATCTGTAAGTTTGGGAGGGTGGTATGGTATGCCACAGCACTTAGGCCACATTAGGCCCATTGTGCGCCTCCACAAGAGGAGAGGTGATCCTTAGCTCGTCACCCAGCCTAGCGATTCCACGTAGGCGATGACGTCGCCGAGGGCGGTGCCTCTGATCTCTTCTACCGATGGCATTTATTCATTCCGTAAATGTATATGGCACCTAGCCTAGCACAATCGCATTGGTCAGATTTAAAATTTAAACCAGTTAAACTTCGGAATGTAAATCAGTGCCATATGCACTTACGGATTGTAATATACCTAATTATGCGTTATGCGCAGGCAAAATCACGTCTCCTCCAGCGGCCAAATATCCTGTTTTATTTTTGTGATTGTCGGGCTTACATAGGTAGGTCATAGAAGTAAGTTCGGCGTTGCGTCTTATCTTTCGATTTTCTCGAAAATGTTTCGAACAAAAAATTGGCAGTTATTGCTTCGCCGACATTATTTTAATCAGATCTCTTGTAGTTATTTCGGTGTTTGAAATCGCCATGCATGCTGCGACAACGTTGCTACCTTTGAATTATAAATATTTTGAACAGAGTCCTGGAGCAAAGATGGGTGGAAGAATTTGTGTCTTTAACAAATTCACCATGACCATCAACTTTTAGAATGTTGTTGATTTAATGCTTTTCAAAAATAGCGAATTTGGCACTTCTAGTTCACTGATTTTGTATAAAGCTTGTTTTGTTATATTATTCAATAAACATATTGACGCTTTCCGCTTTCGCTCTGATATGTACTATGTATATTTTCTTTGCTCACCGAAACTTAGATTGATAGGTACACCGCATGTTTGTAATGTAATGTGAAAGAGATACCTATAGTTGAAAAATAATTGACGCTTGACTCGTTTTCAGCTTAACAAAATTTTCTGCTGCAATAACTAGGTATAACATTCCGTAAGTGCATATGGCACTGATTTACATTCTGTACGCGCGTATGGCACTCGAAGTTTAATTGGTTTAATTTTTAAATCTGACAAATGGGATTGTGCTAGGTGCCATATACATGTACGGAATGAATAAATGCCTACCGATGGGTACGATTGGCCTAATCTGGCTCTGCGTATTGGCGGAAGAGCAGTGCAGTCACAGAGAATGTACCCAGAGTGTATTCTTTACCTCTATGCAAGATGACTACGTCATCTGCGCAAGCTATTGTGTAGTGGTTGCAGGGCCGGATTTTACACTCGTGCAACTCGTGCGCCGCACGAGGGCGGCATATTCTAGGTATATTAGTATATTTTTATACAGATTTATAAAAAAAATGGAGACAAATATCTTTAAATGATATTGCACAAACAGGTGGCCACTTATTGGGACGCGTGCTACCTGCCAAGTGGTACGAGCACCCCTGAAAAGTAGTACGAGCGCCCTTGGCCAATCACCTGCTAGCGATAAACAACAAACGGACCACACAAAGATAGGGCTCCGTCAAGTTAGCTCCCTCCAAATTCGAATTTTCCAAAAATATTTCAACCACTTACTGTGGCTCGAAGGCCTCGAAGTGAGCTTTACTGTGCCCTGTGCCGATGATATTTTGAACTGTGCCGTTCCGATACCAAAGCTATAGGAAAAACAGGATGAGTGGCTAACTTGACGCTTAGCCCCCCAAAAATTTTGGAAATCAGGTCAAACAAAAATTGATTCTTATGCAATCGGAAGTGTGCTGAACTGTGCTGTATCAGGTTTTTCTAAAAATTTCCATATTCGGTCATTTTCCGATAAAATCCTACTGGGGAGGCTAACTTGATGCTCAACCCCCCCAAAAATTTTGGAAATCAGATCAAACAAAAATTGACTCCTATTCAATCTGAAGTGGAGTGTGCTGTATCAGGTTTTTCTCAAAATTTCCACACTCGGTCATTTTCCGACAAAATCTTTCTAAGGGGCTAACTTGACGCTCAGCGCCCCCAAAGTTTTGGAAATCAGATCAAACAATAATGGATTCTTATTCAATCTAGTGTGCTGGACTGTGTGATTTTTCTGAGAATTTCATACATCTGTCAAAACTGGTATTCCAACAATAAATTGACATGTTTTGATTGTTGATTTGAACCAATCAGATTGCAATTACGCGATAATTTGCACTAGTGCAAATTATCAGATAATTGCATAGTAACTGGTGCGAAAACTGGTGTTTTGACATTTTTTGACAAAAAATTTAAATTTTTGATTGATGAAATTCACTCATTAAATACAACTCGTGCAATGGAAATATATTTATAATTTTCGACAAATTTGCACTCATGCGTTTTTAACTGAAAAAGGCACTCGTGCTCTTTTTCAACTAAAAATGCATTCGGGCAAATTTCCCAAAAATTATCAATAATTTCCATTGCACTAGTTATATTACTATTGAAAATTTCCATATTTTGTCATTTTCCCAGTACCTTGGCGCTATGCACGAATGATTTTGTTTAAAAAAATTGACTAAAGACCAAATTTTAAAAAATTTCCCATAGGAAATATTTTGTGCACGTGTTATATTTTGATAGGAAATTTCCCTTGTGCATATTTAACTGGAAATTTCCCTTGTGCATATTTAACTGGAAATTTACCTCGTAATTTTCAAAAATTGATAAGTGGAAATATACCTGGTGAGCGGGATATTTCCGGGTGCAATTTCCAATGCGACAATGCCGCGCGGCGTCCGTCGAAAACCCACCTTTAGGTTGTCATTTTTGGCATTGAGACCAGCTTTTCCATTTAAAACGCATTGATGTCAGAAATCTGTCAAAGTGTATATTTTTTGACAAACGCAATTTAAATGGGAAAGATCAATAACAATCATCATCACAGAACACATAATCATAATTAAAATATTCGACACAACTTATAAGCAATAAACTTCAAACTCGGGAAATTTCCTATCAAAATATAACACGTGCATAAAATATTTCCTAATGCAAATTTTCAAAAATTTCGTCTTTAGTCAATTTTTTAAAACAAAACCATTCGTGCATAGCGCCAAAGAAAAAAATCCCTCACCCTTCGGGTTCGGGATTTTTTCAGGCGCTATGCACTCATGATTTTGTTAAAAAATTGGCTTCAGACAAAATTTTCAAAAATTTCCGGAAATAATTCATGCACTAGTTAACTGGAAATTTACCTAGTAATTTTCAAAAATTTGATAAGTGGAAATATCACTGGTGAGCGGGATATTTCCGGGTGCAATTTCCAATGCGACGATGCCGCGCGGCGTTTGTCGGAAACCCACCTTTAGGTTGTCATTTTTGGCATTGAGACCAGCTTTTCCATTTAAAATACATTGATGTCAGAAATCTGGCAAAGTGTATATTTTTTGACAAACGCAATTTAAGGTTTAAAGTCAGGCCTATAGTTTATTACAGCAACGCGAAATGTCAATGCTGTCGCCCCTATAGTGTGCCCTAACTTGACTGTCAAAAAAAAATAGAAATCTTCATTTGGTTAAATTGTGTGATAAAATAATGGGAAACTTCATCTATTCGTTTTGAAATAAATGGTGAAAAACTACTTTTTCAGCTTTCAGTTTTTGCGTATAACTCAAAAATGGCGAGTCAAATTTGCTTAAAAAAGTTATGGATTAAAGTATATCGATAAGCATAAAACATATATTTTTTTTGGAATTTTTGAACACAAGGTTCAGAAAATAGGGGTTGACTTTAAACCTTAAATAGGAAAGATCAATAACAATCACCATCACAGAAAACATCACCATAATTAAAATATTCGACACAACTTATAGTAGATAAACTTCAAATTCGGGAAATTTCCTATCAAAATATAACACGTGCATAAAATATTTCCTGAGGGAAATTTTTGAAAATTTCGTCTTTAGTCAATTTTTTTTTTAACAAAACCATTCGTGCATAGCGCCAAAGAAAAAATCCCGAACCCGAAGGGGCGCACTCATGATTTTGTTAAAAAAATTGGCTTCAGACAAAATTTTCAAAAATTTCCGGAAATATTTTATGCACTAGTTATATTACTACTGGAAATTTCCCTTGTGCATATTTAACTGGAAATTTACCACGAAATTTTCAAAAATTGATAAGTGGAAATATCCCTGGTGAGCGGGATATTTCCGGGTGCAATTTCCAATGCGACAATGCCGCGCGGCGTCCGTCGGAAACCCACCTTTAGGTTGTCATTTTTGGCATTGAGACCAGCTTTTCCATTTAAAACGCATTGATGTCAGAAATCTGTCAA